CTGAGCAGCTTTTCTTAAAGTTATCACCTCCTTTTGAAGCAAATCATGCAAGACTCCTGGGACACTATCACTATTTGTCGATGCTGGTTTCTCTGAATCTCCTTGTTTTGTTGAAGTAGGTGACTCACCTTCGCCGGTTCCTTCAGAAGACTGGTTCAATGGAAACTTCGACCCTGATTCGTTTGTTAGTAGTTTACTACTCCTATCTAAAGATCTGCTGCCTCCGTCGAATGATCTGGATGTTCCTTTAGCATGCTTCATTATTGTACTTGTACTAGCATTCGAAGATCTAAACTGAGAACTCGGCGTTCTCTTGGAGAAAAATCCATTTGATGTCAATTTGGGAATAATATCAGCTCCGCCAAAGGATTGTCTTCGAGAAGGCCCGTTGCTAATACTTCTTCCATCAGGTGTTGCTCGGTTCCCATTGCTTGAAGGCCCTCTTAAACTCTCTTCTAAAACTCTAAGCCGCAGTTGAAATTTCTCCTGAAAAAAGCAAAAGCCGCAATTCTAACTAAAGCCTTCTAAAAAAAAGGACATAAAGAAGACTAAAGATATGGCTCATAGCTAAGATTCTTACCTTCAACTGAGCTTCGGATTTTGCAGCTCGATCAGCTATGGCAAGTTTGTCACGAAGTTGTTGCATTTCTCCCTGTCCAAAAAAGAAACAGGAGAATGGTCAAAGCTGCACTTATTCTAGTTGTGACGGTTTCCGTGGATATGAATCACAACTTGAAGCAGCAAGAGAATCCAAAAAAAACCTGCAAAAACCTTCGTTCTTCGAGCCATTGCTTCACAGGCATCACTTTGTCACTACCATCTTTCCACTCATTTGCCACTACAGTTGCAACCCTGCTTGCACTTACCTTTGCACGGGCCAGTTCCCGATCAAGGATTCTCCTCTCTTCCTAAAGAAAAGATCAATGGCCACAGTTACGGTCAACATATGAATTTATATCCTACGAAACAAGGAAAACAATGAGCTACTGAGGCACTATAGGAGAAGATGAATTATTACATTCATTTCTTGGAATTTCCTCTGGTAATCTCTCACTGCATTTGCAGCTGCACCACCAGCAAGAACAGCTTCTTCTAGCTCTCGCACAGTCTGGGTGAACTTTTCAACTTCCGCAACCTTCTGTCTGTGCAACTTGTCCAGAATTCTGTTCTCTTCCTAGTTTAAACAATTGATAAACAAGGCATGGTCACAATAACGAAGGAAAGCGATCCACAACTTTAGGACGCCAAATAAAGGAGATGGGAGCAATACCTGACAAATTTCTATCTGTTTCATTAACTCTTGGTTTTTATTCTGGAGATCATCAACCATTGAAGCCTTTGCAAGAGCAATCTGAACAGTTCTTTCAGCATCAAGCAAAGCTGCTTCCTTTGATTTAGTTAGACGGTCCAATGCTCTGTTGTCGTCTTGAAGTTTAACCATCTACAAATCAAAAACGCAAAACCCGACACCTAGTTTATTAAAAGGTTTCAAGACTCGATATAGATTTGGTTGAAAGGAAGAAAATTACTTCATTTCTCGCCAACTTGAGTTCAGCTTCTAGAGGGGCGAGAATGGCTTCAATAGGAGGCATATCATCATCCTTCTGAGCAGCATGAACCCTTCTAAGAGTGGCTTCTGCAGCGAATTGAGCTGCCATGGATGCCCTTTTTTCTTCATTAATTTTCTTGATTTCAAGGTTCTGTGACAACATGTGATCTTTCATCAAATACTGAATCCAGAAAAAGAAATACAAAAGTAAAAAAGTAACTGATGAAGGATCGCAAGCATACTTTACTCTCGAGAAGGTTTTCACTTAGCTTGAGCTTCTCCAACATCTTTCCCAACTCTTCGGTAAGCTTTAGCCAGCAAATTAAATATCAGAACGTCAGCGAGTACAAAGAAGCGGAAAAAAGGATGATTTATGTGACACAATAAATAAACAAACTGCTTATATAAGTGATTTTCGCTAGCACGAAAATCACACAGCATTTTTTCTTTCCACAAGGCATTTCAAAATCTAGCTATAAACAAGTCAAATCATAACATTTCTTTTGGAGAACAAGCACTTAAGAATATGTATAAGCTTCATAGAATCACATGTCAAACGAGAGTGAACCCAGGTTTACAAAGGAACGGTAATAGAAAACTGAACAAAAACAGAAAGGCGTTACAACCACTAATTGAAAAACTAAGCAAGATTTAGAAGACCAAATTCAACCACTTGTACTGCATAACAGAGAACTCCAATACAACTAGAGCAAAAACTACTACCTGAAGGATACCAGTTTTGAAGGACCAAGACATTCGAACTGCGTTTCATAAATTCAACCTCTTCCTCACCAATGAAATGACCCAAAAAAAAAAAAAACCCAATATGTCAAGATATGTTCTCAATGTCCTGTTCAGTTGCATCAAGTATAATCTAAACATGACAATGGTGAAAACCCGAACTAACGAATGCGATGGCTACATGGTATATGACTGGTCAGCTTCATCTCCCCAATCCATATATAACCAACACTATGCTAATGACTAGCCAGAATTGTAAATACATTGCAAGTAACAAAAACTCAATTGGTAAGAAGGACTAACCTCTTCAACAGCCTTTTCTCTTTGCCGTTCAGACAACCTCAATGCCTTAATCTCAGCTTGGGATTCAGATAATTCCCGATCTTTATCTGCACCAAAGTCAATGTTTTTAAACCCAAGAATGACAAGCATGCACGTAAACATATCCCAAATTACAAAATCAAAATGTCAACGGAAACTTTGACAATCGACCAATAGAATAAACAGATCGAGTATGGTATTGTACCTCTGACTTCATTCTCTAACCTATTGAGCTCAATCTTAACCGGATCTGAGCCATGGAGTAAAGTAATGAACTCGTTATCACCATCAAAACTAGGTTTCATTGACCTCCGTCGTGATTTACTTCCTCCTCCTCCTCCTTCACGGAAAGAAGACGACACAGTCAAT